CCCAGGCTCAGTGTTAGGTGTCAGGATATGAAGATGAAGAAGTTATGGCCTTTGTCCTGTAGGGATGACATTCTCATGGAAGGAAACAGCCTCAAAACTCAGGGACGGCCCTCGGTGCCATGGAGGTGTGCCTGCCAGCAGGTGCCGTGGGAGCAAGTGGTAGGACTGTCTATGCCTGGTGTCCAGGAAGGCATCTCAGAGGAGGGTGTGAGGGCTGAGTTGTAAGGAGGAAGTAGAAATTAGGGGAAAGGAGTGGGGAAGATGTGCGTGCGTGCATGCATGTGCATGTGAGCACATGTGTATGCATGTGTGTGCATGTGGAGGTATGTGAGTGTATGTGTGGGGGTGGGATTCAGACAGAGGAGCAGGTGTGCAAAGCCTCTAGTCACGAGCTGCACAGTGAACTTGGACACAAGTTCGTGGTGAGGGATGCATGTGGTGAAGGGCGGATGCAGGTAGAAGAGCAGCTGAAAAGGAAGCCAGAGCCCAGCAGGAGGGACCTCCAGTGTCTTGCTGAGGGATTTAAACTTTCGACCCAACGCTAGGAAGGTACCAAGGAAGGAAGTCAGGCAGAGGACGGGCATGATTGGATCCGTGTTTGAAAGTGACCCGTGACAGAGATGTCCAGCACAGAGGACAAGGCAGAGGAGGGGAGTGGGCAGGAGGTCCTGTGGGAGGAATTGCAGGGACCCCGGTCAGAAGGGGCACGGCCTGAATGAGTGAGGGCTGGGTCGTGGAGAGCAGGCCAGGTGCGAGCGTTGTCTGCGAGGTCGCCGATTCAGGACTTGGTGGCGTATTGGATGTGGGGGGTGACTGCGGAGCGGGACTGCTGCTGGGGCTCGTGCTTGGACAGCGGGTGGGAGTGGTGTCCTCCTCCAGGTGAGGAGGGGGTGGGTGCGAAGAGGGAAGAGAAGGAGGAGGAGGGTCGGCTTAGTGGGGAAGATGATGGGAAGATGATGTGTTGAAGTTTTGTTGTTGTTATTGAACTTGTACTTTGTGAAGCCTAAGAGAAAACGATAAGAGAGGCAAAGTGCCTGAGCTTTCAGGGTGAGTTCAGCTTGGGGCACATTGACTTTGAGTGATCTGAGGGACACTGGGTGGAGAAGACATCCTTGGATCCCCTCATTCTCGTCCTGACGTCCAATTCACGGGCAAGTCCCATCAGCGCTGTCTGCAAGCCTCCGTCCATCTCTGTTCCCTTCTGTCCCTGTCCTCTGCCACCAGCAGAGGGAGGGGGGCGGTCGAGGGGGGGCAGCAGGTGAGGAGCAGGGAGGGGCTGTCCCTTGTGAGCAGAGGGGGGAACGGGACAGGACGCAAGGGTGTCTTGGGGGATGATCTTGTTGGGGTTGGGAGGGGCGGTGGGGTGTTCTCTCTCTCAGAGTGAGAAGGCAAGGGCTCGCCAGGAGCGAGGCAGGGCGGTGGACCGAGTAGCAGACATGAAGGGAGTGTAGGAGGGAGATGATTGACGAGGGGGTCCCAATGGGCTGCCCAGGCAGGAATTGGGGCCCCTGGAGCCTCCGGGTCCGTGGGGATGTCAGCCCACGCGAGGGTGGCACTTTCCCCGCAGGGCTCCACAGCACTGCGCAGTGGTGGGGATCCTCCACCCGTGGACATGGGTTGTGAGCAGGGAGCTAAGAGCTAGGGCTGCGCAGGAGGGAGGAGAGGAAAGGCGGTGCCATCCGGGGCCTCCCCGCAGGCCCTCCGCCTGTGCCCCCACTCCAGCACCCCTGGACAGGGAAGTGGAGGAGGCAGCCGCCCCTCTCTGCACCTCCTCCCACGTCTCCACATCCCCCATCTCTACCTTCACTGCCAGGGAAGTGGCTTCACAGGTGACTCGGGGCGGGGCTCAAGTGACCCGGCGTCCGAATGCTCTGCCCGGGCTTCTTCAGCTGGACTGACTCCTCTACCAACGGGAGGCAACCTGGGTCCGACAGGTCTCAGGGAAGGGTTCCAGTGACTGCGAAGGACATGTGCCTGATGACGGGCTAGCCCCCTGGGCAAGGCAGGGACACCCCCGTGACGTGGACAGAGCAGGGTGCCTGGGGGCCGCTGAGCTGTGCAGGGAGGAGGTGCCACCACCTCCGTCTCCCGGCTGTGCTGGTGGGATGCTCACAGGGCGGCGTGCTGCGAGGCTCTGCTCAGGGAAGGGCCTGGGGGAGAAGGGGCCTAGGAGGGAGGGACATAACAGGGTAATTGAGGCAGCAGTAGGAGGATGCGTGGACAGTGCTCTTCAAGCCGCCAAAGGGTTGAAATCAGAGTCGCCATTTCAGTTTCCCTCTTCTCTGGCACAGACAGCAGCGGGGGTGAGGAGGGGCTGGAGGTAGGATTCACCTCGACCAGAGGATCCCAGGACTTAAGAGCCTACAAGGCACTGGAATAAGTGACAGAGGAACATTCTAGAAATGTTTTCTTTAAAATGCTTTTGGAGAAGAGACTAATCATTTGCTTAAGGGTCGATGAAGGCCACTTTATGGAATGGCAGGGGCTGAGATTAAACGAGAGTAGCAACAGCAACATCAGAACGGTGGCTGACCATGAAACGAACGTGGACAGCCCTGAGCCTTTGTGTGCCTGAACTCGTAGGGTCCTCACAGCTGCCCTACAAGGCTTTACCCACGAGGAAAGCGGGCGTGAGGGGGTTGCGCAGGGTGCCCCGGGTCAAGCACCTGCGCTGGCTGGAGAAGGGGCCACCGGAGTTCTGGGGACACGGCATGTCGGGAGGATCAGGGTCCCCTCTGGAAGGAGCAGGCCCGTTGGCCCTGACCCAGCCCGGGTCCTCTCCCCTCCCCCGCTGGGCTGCGGCCCCGGGGAGTCCTGGGGGTCACGTCACCCCTGCCTGCCTTCCCTGAGCCCTCGGAGGACGCCACGCAGGCTGACCGGATGCATAGCTTTATTAAATAAATGCTTTGTCATGACAAAAGACAAAGATGGAGGAGTAACATAAATTATAAGTTGAATAAATAGTATACAGCAATCTTCACTTTTTAATAAGACGTGAGATCCTCTGTTTGTTTGTTTGTTTTTTTATTATTATTTATTTCCTTAAGTACAAAATGCTAAACAGGAGCCTAGCTCTTCCACATTCAGGTGATTTGTTTTGTTTTCTGCCTTTTTTTCCTGTTCGTTTGTTGATTTATTTTTAAATCCTTTTTACCAGTAAAGATTATGAGCATTTACTTTATTTTTTTTTTAAGTTGAAAACAAAAAAAAAAAAAAAGAAGAGAGAATAGAGCTATGGTATGTATGTAAAACTATAAAGAACTACAGTAATATGTGCTGTGGTTATTGCTGTTTTCAAAAAAGGAAAAAAGAAAAAAACCAAAACCAAACAACCGGTAGGTAACTCGGAATCTGAAGGAATCCTGTCTGACAACTGTGCTAACCGTGCGCTACTGTGTGGTGGTGGCGGTGGTGCAGATGGGGCCAGGCTGGTGACCGGGACCAGAGACGCGGGGTGTGTGGGCGGGGGGCCGGGGACCCCCACCTTCCCTTTCCCCATCCAGAAGGAGTTAAGGAGAGGAGGCCAGAGTCTGTGAAACGGCTAAACTAGATACTCCATTAGAAAACCAATAAAGTACATTTAAGAAAAAAAAAGAAAACAAAAGTCTAAAAGAAAAAAAAATTGGGGAAAAGGAAAAAAAAATGGAGAAACAGCGCAAAATAATTCTTGCACTTTAGTGGTTTTAAAAATACAGACAGTACAAGGCCCGGGGTGCGGCTGGTCAAAGCCCCGTCCGTTCGTTCCCTTGTCCCACCACGTTGCAAATCGGAGCCTCCTTTCTCCTGGAAGCCAAACGTTTCCTTTCCAGGTCAAGGGTTTCTTCTCCTTGACCCTCTCCTCTCTGAAGGTCCCGTCCGGAACCGGGGCTGAGTGGCTGTCAAGGGTGAGGCCCCACCTTGTGCGGGGCGTGGAGGTGGCCGGGCAGCCCTGTCGCCAGCAGTGGGGAGGCAGGGGCGAGGTGTGGGGGCTCAGCCCTCCAGCGGAGGCCAGCCCTGTGGGGAGACCTCAGAGGCGGGAGCCCCCTGGGCCTCTGGCGCCCGCCTTCCTCCCGTACGGGGCTGATGTCACCAGGCCTGGCTGTCTGGGCCTGGCCGTCAGAGAAACTGTCCAGTCTCTTCCTTCCCAGTGCCTGGCTCTGCCTGGCGGGTCAGGGCAGGCTGGGGAAGGAGGGTCAGTCCTGGCTAGGCCTTCCTCAGTCACCCGGCAGGCACGGGAAGACAGGGGTACCTTCTCCACTGCTGGAGGGAGGCAGGAGTCAAAAGTGAGTGGGAAGAGAGCTTCCACAGGCGTGGGGTGGGCAGCCCACAGGCCTGGAGCCAGATGGCCCAGGGTCCAAGGCCTCCAGGGCAGCAGAGGGTTGGCCAAAGGCCGGCCTGGAGTCAAGGAGGTCCCTACTCAGGCCCTGACAGGCTCACGCCATTCCAAACGGCCTCCCCGCACCCTGCCAAGGGAGGAGCTTCCATCTCCCTTCCCGATTCCTTCCCTGGGCTCAGCCAGACCTTCCATTTGGGAGGCTCAGTCTCGTCTGTGCATGAAGGTCCAGCTTCTCTAGGGAGTGACCAGCTGCTCATAAGCGCCCCCTGGAGGCAGTGGAGACGTGCAGGTCTGGGTCAGTAGGCACGGACGTCCGGCAGAGCTCACCCAGGCCGCGAACCCCCACCTCACGGCTGACCGTGAAGAGCCCAGGCGGGGGCAGAGGCCTGCTCAAAGTCCAGCACACTCTGGGGGGAGCCCCTCCCAGGAGTCAGGGCCAGTTCCGGGAGGGGCCAGGGGTGGGTTTGCAGTTCCTGGCTCAGTCTTTTCTTAGGGGGAGTGGTACCCCAGTATCCACTTGGCAGATCCCAGTAAGATAACTGCTCAAGATCCAGAGACAGAATGGGCAGAAGGAGGAGTGATGCGCAAAAGGTTTAGGGTACTGGCCTAAGACATACAGAAATGTGAGTCGGGGTCTGGGGGACAGCTGTGCAGAGATGGGGCGCTCTGACTCAGCAGGTCAAGAAAGTCTCATGGCTGCCGGCCCACCGGGCCCTTTGTCTCCCCGAGACAGAGCACCTCGCCCGTCTCCAGCCAGCTGTCTTGTCCGGGGAGAAGGAGACAGCCCCGAGGTCCGCAGTGATGGGCTTGCCATTAGTTGGAGTACATTTGCTTCTTTGCTGTCCCTCTTCTAGCTGTATTTGCTCCTTGGTTGCCATAAGTTTGGTGCTGGAGGCGGTCTCCCCTGTGTTGTGCGTCAGGGCAGAGTGGAGAGAGCTGTGTCCTTTGCCAGTGTCCAAGCCCTCTTCCCTGGCAGGGTTTCTTCAGCCTTAGAGGACAGCCCAAGGCCACCCATTGGTTGAGGACGTCAGCGGAGAACGGAACTTTTCTTGGTTCAGAATCTGGCTGTCCTAGGACGGCACCCCTGAAGCCGCCTTCCCTGGCTGTCCTGGGCCTCTCCTCCGCCCACCACCCCGGCGAGGGACCAGGGGCTGCCAGCACAGGGGACGAGCCTGAAAGACTCTCGGCCTTCGTCCCTCCTTGTGGCTGAACGTGGGCATCGAGCACGGTCTCGGCCCTTCGAAAGCACAGCCAGTCTCTATTGATCCTTGTTCCTGTCCCGCTTCTAGTGTCCGGGACCCACCTGCAGCTGCCCGCCTTCCTCTGCTCTGTGCCCTGGCGTGAGCTCGTTTCTATCTTACAACCCATCCCCCCATTTTCCTCTCTCCTTCTTCTTGAACCCCAGGAGGCATATAGGGCGGGAAGCCAAGGAGGCTGCTACGGGTGTTTCCCGCTCTCCGCAGCTTTGCTCCAAAGCTAGAACGGGGCGGATACCCCCACCCTCCACCTGCTCTGGCCTGGGCAGTCCCGTTTACGGGTTCCCTGCACGTGAAAGCTTCCTCCACCCTCTCCCTCTCTGCCCTCTCTCGTTTCAGTCTCTCTCCTGCTCTGCCAGCGTGGAGACCGAGGGAGGCTTCCAAAACACAGGTCCTGTCCCGATGACATGAAAGGGCTGGGACAGGACCAGGCGGGTCACACTTGTTGACCTGTTGGGCTCATCTGGCGTGGTGTCCAGAGACAGCTACCTCCCGAGGGTTTAAAGACTGCGTGGGACGCATGCGGGGGTGCGGTGCGCACATCGAGCGCTGGCCTCGCCTGGCTGGGTGGGTACATGTGAACACCTGTGTGGAGTCACACTGGGCCCCCGAAGAACGGAGTTTGCTGCTCATGGGGAGCCCTGACTAGGGGTGGGCAAAACTGGCATTATGGGTTGCACTGGGAGAACGTGGGTTTCCTTGGTTTCCCCAAAATGAGGAAGCTCCTCAATGCCCCACGAGCTACTCTGAAAAGTTAATGCAAACCTCTGGAAGAAAGATAGAAAGAAAGAAAAAAAAACAAAGAAATAAAATAGATTTATATGCCTATATATGACGATATGCAGCCTTGTAGATAAATACAAGCCCACGTTTTTCTCAGCCTATCCTCCCCCACAGAGGCTGCTGCGCTAGTTGGGAATTGAAGGAAATTGAGGGCTGAAACCACAGCTTCAGCATGTGTGTGTGTGTGTGTTTTTTTTAAATCACCCGGGAAAGACAAGTCTTTCCAATACTGGGGTGTGTACGGATTTCTAAAAGTCTGCATGAGGACTGAGAATGCGCACGTACTTGACATTCACGTCTCTGCTTGGGAAACCTAGCTATCTAATGTCACTCAATAACGAATTTGTTTTTAGAGGGATGGAATGCATTTTAGCTTTTATAAGTTTGGGGCAGAGACAACATTCTGTTGGGGTAAGGCCAGGGGTCGAGCTGTCCACACCGCTGGCTGGAGAAGGAGACAGATCTGGGAGAGGCCCTGGCACACCCGCCTCTTCCTTTCTCTCCCTGACCAATCCAGACTGGGAAAACTCCAAGGGTGTCACCAAAAGCCACATCTTGGTGCCCAAACTTCTCCCGACTCCAGGCTAGGGCTGGCCCCCGGCGCCTTTCCTTCCTGTCCACCTGCTTGCCTTCCTTTTTGTAACTCTGCTCATCTGTCCCTCTGTTCCACACGAACGCTTTCTTCCCTCCTCTCCCTCTTGTGCTTCCTCTCTTCCTTCTCTGTTCATTCAACTTGCCTCAAAAAGAAAACTGTTTTAAAGGGGGGGGTCTTCTCAACTTTTTGCATCCTTTCTGTTGTTGCCATTTTCAAAATTGAGCCCTTGCTAGAGATTCCGAGGTCCTCAGTTTCCTCAAATAGATATAGATATATATATTTTTTTTCCCTTAAATGAGATGAAATGAGTGGCGTCCTGGGGTGGAGGGAGTCTCTGGCTGGCTGGAGTCGGGGCTGGGGGCAGGCGGGGGTGGGGGTGTGGGGAGGGGACGCGTCACTCAACATTGCTGCTGTCGAAGGTGTGGCACTGAAAGTCCCCGTCCACGTACTCCATGCCGGGCAGCTTCATCCCGTACTTGTCCACACACCAGCAGATGCCACGCTTGCGGCCGCGGGAGGGCTTGCACTGGGGTGGGCAGAGCAACAGGAGGTGAGGACCGGGCTCGCTGAGCCTCTGCTGCTGCCCTCCCTGCCTCTTCCCCACCCCAAGACTGACTCTCATCCCCAGAGCCGAGCTGAGCCGAGGAGCTGGACCCAGCCCTGGGGGTTCTGGTGCCCCCATTTTATGGAGGGGCAGAGGAAAACGTGAATTTAGGCAGCCTGCCCTTGGCTAGCTCCTACAACCTCTTTTTTTCCTTTATTAAGAAAGGGTCTCACTCTGTCAGCCAGGCTGGAGTGCAGGGGCATGACACTGAGCATCACAGCTCAGTGTGGCCTTGAACTCCTGGGCTCAGCGATCATCCCACCTCCGCCTCCCAAGGAGCTGGGACTACAGGTGTGACCACCATGCCCAGCCATGGCCTCTTTTTTATGTTATCCACTCAAGTTCCTCCAACTCGGTTCTCTCCAGGGATTCTCGACATTGGAAGCTGATCCGATAACGATAATAGTAACAGCAATAATAATATTGTGCAGCTTTGTCAGACACCACTCAACACTTAGTATAGAGCAGGGAATGTTCTAGGTGCTCCACAGTTTCCTCATCCTCCCTGAAGTAGGCACTGTTATTCTCTGGAAGCAGAGACATTAGATGACTGGGGAAAAGAGACAGGCCAGTAAGCACAAGAGCCGAGATTGACCCCAAGGCAGTCTGGCTCTTAAATTTAGATTAGTGGTGCCCTTAAGGTGGCATCAGGGTCACCTGGTAACTCGTGGAGGAGATGCAAAGTCCTCCGAGTCCACCCTAGACCTACCAGTGGAAAGTCTGGGCGTGGGGGGGCCCAGCCACCTGCTGCTTTAACAAGCCCCCCAGGCGATGTTTGTGAGCCATCGCCCGCAGGAGAGCCTGGCTGCGAAGGGGCGTGATGGTTTCAGGCGGCACACAAAGGAAACGGGTTTTAAAACCATGTGCGCGCCCATGCCCTGTGCGTGTGTATCAGAAGAGCATCTGAGGAGCGTGAACAACCTGTGGTGTGATACAGTGTTACAAGTGAACTCACGTAGACAAGATGAATCTCCGAAAGGTTAGGTAGATTATAGCGCAGGAGGGAACGGGGAACACCATGCCTGTGCTACACGAATGCGTGTCTGAGGTTTAGGAAACACCGAATGGCTAATGTAAACACTAAATCGTTAATGGCAGACATCTTATATGCTTGCCCCAAGTGGAGATTCCGGGCAGGTGCAGAAGTGGAGCCATCTGAACCTGGGAGCGCGGGGCAGGGGCGTACCTGCTTTCTCTTGTAGAATCCCTTGCGGTCACAGTTGGGCAGGTACACGGCACGGGGCACCATGCGTGGGCTGGCTTTCAGCTCCTGCAGGGACGCCTCCATGTGTCTGCGGCAGGGGCCCTGTGTGGACAGGGGGGTGAGGGGAGCGGCAGGACCAAGTGGGACCGCCCAGGCGTGCAGACGGCGGCCCCGGAGTGGGGGCCGAAGGGTCCCGGAGGACAGTCACCAACTTTGGCTCTAATCAGCTGCTATCAAGGATCTTCCCTCCCTCTCACCTGTCACGTGCCCTGGGAGTGTACAAAGCCAGCATTTGGCCAGGTGTAGAGATCCATTTTCCCTTTTGCTTCCCAAGCCCCACCCCTCCCCACAGCTTTTCTACTCTGCCGAGCAATGAAGCCCAGGGGCGTGGTCTCCGGGTGCTCTATGCGCCGGACACATCTCCAGGGCTCACGTGCCTGGTGTGTGCACTTTCCTGGAGTGAGCACTACCTCTATTTCCACTCACGTGGACAAGCCCTCTGTCCTGACAAATGTAAACCCTGAGAATTCTCCTAACCGGAGACACCATGGCTGGCAGTGGGTCCTTTGCCAGATCTAGCCTAAGTACCTTCTGCTGCCCTGAATGCCCACTGAGATGCAGGGGAAAAACCCAAAAGTCAGGCGGTGGCAGAGGGAGCGAGACGGGGAGTGAATCCGCAAGACACACCTGCTCAGACTCCTGTCTCATCTCAGGCGCAGAGATGACCCGGGGGTGGGCGGTGTTCTCGGCTCCCCCCACAAACTTGGACTGGGTCAGCTTCTTTCTGCGGTCCTTCTTCACTGCCTCGGCCTTCAGCTCTGAGATGCGGGTGTGCTTGGGCCGGAAGATCTTGGGGGAGTAGGTCTCCTCGGCCATCTCGGAGGTGGTGGGCTCCTCGTGCTCGCGTGAGTCTCTCTCTGTGGGGAGAGGGGGCCGGGGGTCAGCTGCCCGCGCCCAGGGCCCTGGCTGGGAGGTCAGGGCGAGGGAAGTAACACAGGGTGAAGCAGGCGGGGTCTCTGCCCTCCTGGAGCTCTCCAGACTGGGGAAAGCAGGGACATGAGAACTGGGAAGAATAGCGATGCTCATGTAAGTGGAGAGAAGTTTCTGGAATGCCTGGAGTGGAGCAGAGTGAGTGTAAGGAGGAAGAGTAGGAGAATCTTGGAAGATTGGTAGATGAGGGAGGTGCAGCAGGAGGGAGAGGACAGTCTGGGGCAGGAAGCAGGGGGTGGCAAGGGCAGTGGCCCAGGGAAGGGCCAGGGCAGGAGGTGGCGAGCGGTTTGCTTGCTGGGGGCGGCTGGAGGTGGGAACTGGAGACCTGGCCTGCTGCAGGAAGCCAGGGTGCAGCCAGGGCACTAGTCCTCGCACTCTCAGAATTGCTGGGCCTTGAGGTGTATTTGGACTTGGGGAGCTGGTAGTGGGGTTCTGGGGTCCGGAGCAGCAGGATGGTGGGGCCATCGTGAAGCGCAGGAGGAGACGACCTGGGAGATGGGAGTGCCAGAAATGTGGGCCCAGTGGGGAACAGCACGGAGGATGCTCTGGCTCGGACCTGGCTCCGAGCTCGGGCCCTGGGAGGCTGGCATGCTGCTCAGCTGCAGCTTGAGAGAGGCCAGCAGCTGGCAGGGCCAGGCAGTTATATATAGGAGCGACTTGGTGACAGTCTATACTTAGCTGACTGTTGACCTTTACAGAAGCGGGACTTTGTTCATGTATTTGTTGACCCTCAATGCCACCTGCCTGGCCTCTCCCTGGTCCACAGATTTCCAGTAAATTCCTGTCCCACGGACACCCGCCTCTGGGCTCCTCGACTACCCCCGAGTCTCAGCAGACCCAGGGTGGGGGAGACCTTTGCTGCTCCCAGGTGGGCAGGGTGTGGCTGGTGCCCCACAGTGGGACCAGGTACAGGAGCAGGGGCCCTGCCTTCACTGCCTCCCTTCCCAAATCCTTGAAAAAGAAAGTGGGGCGTTGGGTGACCCTGAACACCTCAAATGGGGTGAAGGAAAACCCCATTCTCCACCCCTCCACTATTCCCGGGAAGGCCGACAGCCAGGCTCCGGGGATGAAAGTTGAGGAAGGGGAAGAATTCAAGGAAGTGGCTGGGGGTGCAGGGAGGAGAAGCTTTCTGGAAAGATTCTATTTCATGCCCCCGGGGAACGCTAGGGGTGAGCTGGGGAGGCCTTTGCAGACCCGGCCCGACCTGGTCAGGGTGGCTGGTGGCAGGGAGCACCCCAGCACTGGCTTGTCTCCTGGCTCAGGATTTGTCAAGTTTAATGAGCTAGTTCTCTGGCCTTGGCAGGGAAGTTCCCTGCCCCAAAGAAGCCTCGAAGGGTTTGCAGTGTTCCTGGAGGTCGTGGCTGTGAGCATCGATTCCCAGGACAGGAAGGATCGCTGGAGGGGAAGACGAGGAGGAGGAAGCAGACAGCAACGTGGAGAACAGGCTCAGCCAGAAGTTCAGCATCAGGACCCCGGTGCCCGTTCTGGGCTTTCGAGCCCTATTCCCAGCCTGTCACGATGTTCCCGTGCCCTGACCCTGCTCTGTCAAACCCTGACACGCCTGGCAGGTGGGTTAGTTAGAAGAGTGATGTTTGGGGGTAAAGCAACTTTTCTTGGTTGTGGGACAAGTTAGACTGGAGAGGGGCCAGGGGGGAGCAGGGCTGGTTTGGGGACTCAGTGCGTTGGAAGGCCAGGGCTCTGTTATCTCTAAGACAGGCCCCCACCCGAGGCTCAGGCCCTGTCGGGGCGAGTGAGGAGAAGGAGCACTCACCATGGCACCCGCCTCTTGTTCGGGGACTTGAGACTCTCTACCCAGCCTCCCCAGGCTTCCCCAGGCCTCCTGATCCTCAGGAGGCAGCTGGCTGGGCCAGGGGAGAAGGCAGGAGATGGCAGCCACCAACATCCTGGGGGCGTTCTGGGGCCCAACTCCTTCCTCAGACAGGATTATAACCAGAGAGAGCCAGGGCAGGCCGGGGAGCAGGTGGCTGCTGACCAAGGTGCGGAAGAAAGATGAGGGTCTCCTCCTGTGGGCTGCTCCAGCCCAGCCTTGGCCTGGGGAGCCACAGATTGTCACCTCTTCAAGGGAGAGAGCCCGGGAAGCTGCCTCACCCCCCGCCCCCGTGGCTGTCCTAGCTCCTGGACTCTTTTCCAAACTCCTTTCCATCCCCTTGTGTCCAAGCAGAAACAAGCACATACCCCTATCTCATTGGTGTTCTTTCTAGTTCTTAAAGACATCTGGGATGGGGTCACACCTCATCTTCCTCTGGCCACCTGTTTTTTTTTGGGGGGGAGGAGGGAGGCGCTCTGTCCCTTTGGTCAGAGGATGCCGTTCTCCAGCTGTCATTGCAGCTGGTTCTCGCTCTTTGGTCTGGGTACCATGGAAGCAGGGTGCCCACAGCCTGCCCCACACCAGCGGCTCTTCTCGGGATGCTCAGATTTTGGGAAGAAGTGCTGGGGCCATCCTTAACCTTGCGTCACCCTTCCTGGGAGGAGGATGGGGCTGTTGACAGTAGTCTGATTAACCTTGGGGTAAATTTATTTTGACTTCTCTTACTCTTTTCTTTGAAAGTGTTGAGGTATTATCCTGGGGCCAAACAATGACACTGGAAAAAAATGTAAATTCTGGTATATTCTGGTGTCTTTCTTAATTTAAGGGACTCAAAACACTTTTGTAAACCCTCTCTCCTTTGCTGGCCTCATGAAGGCAGCCTCCTGAGAGCAGATCGCCCAGGCTGCAGGTTACTTGGCTGCTTCTGAAGGGCAGGTTCAAAGTCCCCATGTGCCTCCTGGTTGTTGGTGCCACTTAACCCCGTGAGACCTATTACTTAGGCAGCGGGGGAGTCCAGTATCCAAGATACTATTCAGGGTCTTGTGGTCACCTGCAGGCTCCAGAGAGACAGTGGAAACTTGGAAGGGAACCACCGCAGAGCCACGAAGATTAAAGTGCTGGAAAGTAAGCCCGGGGGCGGGATGCCAACGCCAGCTAGCCCCACTCAGCTGCTCTGTGGGCGAGTCCTAAATGGGCTTTCAATTTTGGCAGGGTTTAAATTTTAGATGAAATTAGAAGGCACAAACAGACTGGCTTCTCCTGAGCTATTTCTTCAGGAGAAGATGAACACAGGTTGCAGAAGGGATTTAGGTGGGGGACAGGGAGGACTTCCTGGAGAAGGAATCTGATAGTGGGCCCCGAACCTGTTTGACAGCCAGGTCAGTACCTCCATCTGGCCAGTAGATGGCGAAAGAGACTAATGTCCACACACATCATTTTAAAGTCTGGAATTTGTGTGTGTCCCTCTCCAACTTTTCTGATAATCACCCAAATCCTCTCCCTCTCTTTGTGTGTCTGCCACATGCATTTAGAGTCAGGAGACGGAGAAGCGAGACCTAGAAAGACCCCCGGGGTGGGAGAGTGGAGGGCAGGCAAAGGAGCAGGAGGGGTGGGGAACGAGGCTTAATTTGTGCAGGACGTGGGGCTGTTTCTGTAATCTGCAACCAGAGAAGGTCCAGGAAGGAAGGGAAACACATCCCAGACCTCCCTGCCTATCTCCAGAGGCCATTCTCAGAATAGTCTGCAGAGGAAGGGAAATGTGGAATGCTTAGTATCTTTTTCTGCCCCTGGAAGCTACGGAGGCAGGGCCTTTAATTTCATATTATCCAACAACAAAAAGGGCACTACCATATTATTCTGATGCAGTATTTACCTTTGGGGTGGGAACTGAGCCTGCTCTGGCTTCTACACCCCCTGCCCCAGTACTTCCAAACAGCTCTCTAATGCCTCTAGCCCCTCCTTCATTCATAAGCCGTTTCCCATTCATACACAAGGAGCAGGGTCCACAGAGGCACGTATGGGTACACTGGCCTTTCTCCACGGCAACATGAACACGTGCCTGAGGACTGCACCATCCTCCATGTCCCAGCAAACACAGAGGGTGTCTGGGTGCAGGCCCAGCTGCTTTGAACCCAGCGACACCCTAGGATGGGCTGTAGTAGCCACAGCACAATTGCACAACGGCATGTACCCTGCCCAAGCTCAACTACTGTCTCCAAACCCGCCCTCTTGTGGCTGCTGTGCTCTTGCAGGGGGAAAATTCTTGGCCAGCAGAGGCAGCACATGCTCTTAAGAAGCGTTCTGACTCTGCCTTGCTTCCTAGTCAGAGCAATGGATAGGTCCAGGTGGGGACCTGTGGCTGCCTGAAACCCAACCTCCCACCCTGGGGCTCTTAGTCATGCCCTGGCACCATTAACAGCTTGCTCCCAGGCTGGTGTTAGTTTCTCACTCTATCTTGTTGGACCTCATAATCAACCATAAGAGAAAACTGGGTGGCCCAGATATTGTGACTTGGCTTACAGAAATTGGAGAAACTAAGGCATGCTTGAAATTCACAACCCAGGAAGAGTGTAGGGCTTTGACAGGCCACGTGGACCTGGGGAGATTCTCCAGTCTCTTTTCCTAGCCAGAAGCCAAAATGGGGATGTCCAGAATCTCTCTACAAGGAATGAAAATAGGCATTGGGTTTCCTATGGCTCTCATTCTAGCTCCCTCTGGGAATTTAACACTAAAATTCCTAAGGGCAGCACTCTGCCATTTATCTTCATTCCTCTGGCAAATGGTATTCAATAAACAATCGTTAAATGGAGAGATGTGTAGATCTGCCCCAGAGGCAAAGAGAAGTGGGTCTAGAAGTATTTCTGTAGTATAAGCTGGGGCACATTAGAGCCCAGTGGATGCCTTGGGAGGTGGTCCCATCCATGCCCCTGCCTCAAAGCATGACGACACTGCTGCAGAAGGGTGCAGGGGGCAGGCTGATGGACAGCACAGCCGTGAGAAGCCCTGCGTATACTGGGCATCTCTTTGACCTAAGGCTATGCCATCTACTATGGTAGCAGCTAGCCAATGTGGTTATTGAAATTAATAAATATTGAATAA